CCAAAGTAACATTACTAGTTATCCTGCATTGGCACTGACCCTTGATTCTACATCTATATATCATATTACTTTTGATACTTTAATGAGAATCACATTGTTGAGAAAACAAGAAAATTCAATAAAGTCATTTGTCAAAGTAGCAACTGGGTCTAAGGTCCTTATCATCGATATTGGAGTTGTTCATTTCAAGAACGAACTAGAGCTACAAGAGGATATTAATGCTCCTAAATATGAATGTCATTTATTATCCATCAACAAACTCGCTGAGGATCGTAATTTTGTAGATAATATCCCTTTGGTGGAAGGGAAAGAAGAATTGACTGGCGATGGCCAGAAAAATGGGAAAACAATGAGAAATAGTAAGAGTGTGGGGTGGTGTAATAGGATGCCAGTTTATAAAAACTTAAGGGGGTTGAGGTGGGAGGAGAATAGATGTAATTTTAATTTTATAATTAAAATTTAAAATACAATGAGAATTTAGAAATTTTAGGTATAAAATTCATAAAAAATTGTTCAATGGACTTATATATTGAATTGAAAAAAGTGGTGTTGTAGTATTTTGTCTACATTTAGTACTATATTTAATAAATTTTTAAATATAATAATATATGAATACATTATTAACATTTTGAATATATAATTCTCTAAAATATATGTTTTCCGCTTTACCTCCGACTCTATCTTCCGATGCACGAGTTAGTAACTTTAAGTAATCTAATCAACGGGTCGGATAAAAAGCTAGTAACTTGTGTAAGTACGGAAAGACGTATCAAATCAGCGGATGGAATTGGTAACTCATAGGACTAATTTAGTTTACTTCCTTGGTTGTTAGCTTTGCCTTTCACTTTGATGACAAAACTGAATGTCCTAATGTTTCGGAGGTCCATGTTTCCACTTGAAAACTCTACGTTCCCTATTCTATTAAGCTATGCTCTCGAAACTTCATATACTCGTTCTTATCCCTGACGATTAACCTATTTTAGAGCAGTGTGGTGATTAGTCTATCTCGCACTTCTCAATTGATGACATAGTCTCGAACGGTCATGTCATCAGGCCAACTCTAGAAAGACAACACCAGAAATTGTAACTTCCTTCCTTCCCTGGACTGATAAACTTATAAAAGTTGCCTGAAAATGGAAACAAAGAATGACGAGTGGTTTCTACAAAAAAAAAAAAAAAAAATTGACGAGTGGTTCCTGAAAACTCCTAATATTTCCTTTTTCTTCTCTCCTCCTCCATTTTCTGTCTTTTCTTTTCCGTTTCTTCTCCTTTCTTCTCTTTATCCCTACATCCTCATCAATTTTGTCACATCCCTCCGTTTGTGTTCTCCACTCTCGCACAAATTAAATGCTCACTCAACATTAACAGTTCATTTCCTCTTCTGTAGTAGTAATGCGATCTTCTATTCTTCTTCCATTATCACCATTATCTTCCCTCCCTCACTCTCAACGCCGCCACCGGGAACCCTGAATAACGACACCGCCGAGTGGATCGAATTCTGAAACAGATAAGGAAAAGGAAAGTTAAAAAGAAAGAATGGGGTTCTTTAGTATGATATTTGGCTTCGTCGGTTTCGGAGTAGGGATTTCGATTGGCATTGTGATCGGTTACTTCCTCTTCATCTACTCTGTTCCAAGCGATATCAAGGTGGATTTTCTCGAATTCCGTCTCTTGTTTCAAAATTGAATTACTCATTTGATTGGAGAATTTCCTTGGGAAAGCTGAGAATGTCGATGGATGTATTTGAATAGAGCTAGAGTTTATATAAAGCCTTCATTTTGATTGTATTTCCGCGAATTGTCAGGATCCTGAGATTCCTCCATTAGATGAGCAAGATGACGAGACTCTCCAGCGAATGTTTCCTGAGATTCCACCTTGGGTCAAAAATCCTGACCACGAACGTGTATGTGTGAAATTTTTGTTTCATAATCTTTTCAAGGTTTTGTGAATGCTCCGAATTTATGAATTAGGTTTGTTCTTTTTTTGAAGATGGATTGGCTGAACAAGTTTATTGAGTATATGTGGCCTTACCTAGATAAGGTATTGCAGTCAGTTTCTTTATTTATGTTTATCTTTGAAGCCTTCTCATATTTTGCAGCTGTTCAAATGCTTGCACTTTCGTTCATTGTTATTTTGGTACCTTAGGCCATTTGCAAGACAGTACAGGAAATTGCAAAGCCGATAATAGCGGAACAGATTCCAAAGTACAAGATAGACTCTGTCGAATTCGAAACACTAACACTTGGGTCACTGCCACCAACTTTTCAAGGTAACAAGCTAAAACTAACTACAGTGAAGTCTACCTGCAATTTAACTTTTGATTTCATCTTTTGTGTGCATCTCTTTGATTTGTTTTACTATGATCAGGGATGAAAGTTTATGTAACTGATGAGAAGGAGTTGATAATGGAACCATGCATCAAGTGGGCTGGAAACCCTAATGTCCTTGTTGCGGTTAAAGCATTTGGATTGAAAGCAACAGCTCAAGTTCATTACGAATTCTTCTAGTTTTTCTTTTCCTTCTGTTTAAAGGTGGATTTTCCTATTATGTTATTCTTATGGTATGTATTTTTTTTGGATGATTGTGAAGGTTTTGGATTTGCAAGTATTTGCTTCTCCCCGTATAACCCTGAAGCCCTTGGTCCCTAGCTTCCCATGCTTTGCCAAGATCTACGTCTCTCTAATGGAGAAGGTTGGTAAAAATGATGATTGTTTCGTCTGGAAATTTATTTTAGTTGATGTTATTACTAACTACAGATAATTCAAAATGAAGCCTCATGTTGACTTTGGGCTCAAGCTTGTGGGAGCTGATCTTATGTCAATTCCAGGAGTATATAGACTTGTTCAAGTATGTCCATTCATCTTTAGACAACCTTTTGTTTTGCTCCATCGTTGGCTCTTTGATGTGATCATGATCAAGAATATTCCATCAACAAAATTAAACTTCTTAGGCTTATAACTCTTCTATGAATTTTCAAAATTCTCATGAGGTTTTGTCTCTTCTACCCTGCAGGAGATAATCAAAGATCAGGTAGCAAACATGTACCTGTGGCCTAAAGCCCTGGAAATTCAAGTCCTAGATGCAAAGTATGTCACACAACAATGTCATGCTTCATATATTCTTTCTATCCATTTCTCGACTTACAAATCTCCCAATAAAAATGCAGAGCCTTGAAGCGGCCTGTTGGAATCTTGACAGTGAAAGTCCTAAGAGCAATGAAGTTGAAGAAGAAAGACCTGCTCGGCGCATCAGACCCATATGTGAAACTAAAGTTAACAGAGGATAAGTTACCATCCAAGAAGACCACAGTAAGACACAAGAACTTGAACCCGGAATGGAACGAGGAGTTCAGCATGACAGTTCGAGACCCCGAGACTCAGTCTCTTGAGCTCCATGTCTATGATTGGGAGCAGGTGTTAAAATTTTTTCAATAGTTGACTAGCTTCCCATCAACTTATTGCATCATCCAAATAACTATGATCGTTTTTCCTTTTAAGGTTGGCAAACATGACAAGATGGGGATGAACCTAGTCCCTCTAAAGGACATCCCACCAGAAGAGACCAAAGTCATGACCCTCGACCTACTCAAAACCATGGACTTGAACGACCCTCAGAACGAGAAATCGAGAGGCCAGATCGTCGTTGAACTTACTTACAAGCCATTTAAGGAAGAAGAAATGCCGAGCAGCTTTGAGGAGACGCAAACCGTAGAGAAGCCACCAGAGGGAACTCCTGCGGGTGGAGGATTGCTTGTGGTCATAGTTCATGAAGCTCAAGATGTTGAAGGCAAACATCACACTAATCCATGCGTCAGGATTACTTTTAAAGGCGAGGAGAAAAGAACTAAGGCATGTAAACACAATTCAGACAAATAACAAAGATGTTCTGTGCATTATCTTTTCGTTCTATAACGATTTGGGTTCTTTTGATTGTTGCAGCAAATAAAGAAGAGTAGAGATCCAAGGTGGGAGGAGGAGTTCCAGTTCATGCTCGAAGAACCTCCAACCAATGAAAAGTTGCACGTGGAAATTACGAGTAGTTCTAAGCGTATGGGCATGCTTCATCCAAAGGTACAAATAGATTCTTCATCAAGTTGGTTGTATTGTAAGGTAGAAGATGCTGACCTTGTTTTTGAATGTTGATGAAATTAGGAATCTTTGGGGTATGTGGTAATCAATCTGGCAGATGTAGTGAATAACAAGAGGATCAATGAGAAGTACCATCTTATAGACTCAAAAAATGGGAAGCTTCAGCTGGAGTTGCAGTGGAGAGCTGCTACTCAGTGATGTTTCTTATCTCTTTACAAGACTACATGTTCTCTTCCTTATTGGATTTGAGATACTAATGATCATGATGGGATAAGAATACAAAGAGCATGAAAGGAAAAACCAAAGCTCTATACTCTGTAGATGACTCTTGCCCCACTATTTAGAGTTTGAATTGGAGGTGGTCCACCTTTCGAGGGTTAAAGTCTTATACTATGTTTTTTTCTTACTGTATTAGTGTCCAGGGAATTCCATTTTTGGCACAATGCATGTATAGCGGATAGAGTAATACAAAGACAAAACAATGATTTGCACACATCCTTTAGAGTTGTTACTAGTTACTTTTTCTTACACTCTAATCCCCCTAAGATGATGGAGACGAATTGCAGATTCTGATCTCTAAGCTTGATCAGGAAGAAGCATCACTGTTGGAAGTAGGAAGGCTTTGGGATGAGGTAAGAGAGTTAGCTTTGGAGATGAGTAATGTTAGCTGGCGGTTTTGGGAAAGGAAAGGCAATAAGCCAACACATCTAATAGCTCATATGGAGTTTAGATGGAATGAGAATGAAGTGTAGTTTAATATACCATTAATTTTACTTTTATCACAACTTCTTGTGAATTATAATGCTTTTTCTCAACGGTAATTGAAAGCATCGAGGCATTTTGTAAGACAAAGAAATACGTTTCTAGTGGAGAATTGTAATTTAATCTTTTGATAATCTATCTTCAAATAGTCTCGTTACAAACCTCTCTCTCCTTTAGTATAAGATTTTCTTTCATTCTAACCAAATCAAAAAGTATTCTCTAACTAGAAAGAACGAAACAAATTCAATCTCCTAATTCAGTCCTTCTAATCTGACCTACTTGTCCAAAACTTGGATAAAAACTATGCCTGAGTGAAACCCTACAAACCACTTGCTCTCAAGAAAACAAAAGAAACGACCCAACCAAAAATAATTAACCTACTCTAATCTAATCGAAAAAAATATCTGCCCTATCATTAACCCTCCATAAATCCTAATAGCCACACTTCACTTGAATTGCCAATCTCTTCTGCACCTCTGGACACCAATCTTGATACCTGTCAAAAAGTTGCCTCTCTACAGGTACATGACATCTATTCTTCCCAAGGCAAAGCTGCTCAGAGATCCAAAACCCACAAAAAATATTCATCACACGAACTCCATAACTTGCTCAACAAGGCACATGAGCAAATAATACATTTTTGTTTTTACCTTTTGGATGATGAACTTTGATAATGGAGAGCTGCAATTCCCTCTGGTGTAGCTTCCGCATGTACCATAAGGATCCCCAAAGCTTGCGAACTCCACGGAGACAATTCTCTTTTGGAAAGGACACCTCAGTCGAGCCTCTGCTCGAACCTTGTTGACCACACTCAAGATCTTTCCTTGCTTCCTTGCCCATGACTTCACCGCGGGTATGTGGTTCTCTGTTGTATCGCTGCATATGATGTCTCGATATACCGTCAAGATCTCGATCTTCTCGGGGTTAGTTCCTTCCTCTTCCTCTAGTATCACCATCAGATTCCTGCCACGTTTAAGGAATGATCTTGGAATGTGGTACCTGGATTCAAAGAGCTTAGCTTTTTCCAGTGATTCTTATGTTACTTGTGGAAGAATTTAAGTAGTTTAATGTCCTACTGCAAGTTACGATTTAGCTTTTCCACGTACTCTGATTGAGTAGGTTGGCCAAGTGGAGAAAGGTAAGACATCCAGTATCTCCCTATGTTGTTTCCATTAATCCACACCATTCCTTTCCCCATTCCTTTCATCCGAACTGCCACAGGATTTCTCCCCTCTGGATTAAACATGTATGTCTGCATCCCCCATATTTGAATGTGCCAAATTATGTTTTCATACAATGCAATAATCAAGACATGATTAGTTCTTACCTTGTACCAAGTAAGAGCACGACCTGGTTTCTGAAGCTTTGTCCATCTCACTCTACGCGATCCGTTCTCTGTGTAAACTTGAGCATCCTCTCCATCCAAACCTACCTTGACTCACAATTTGCTATGAGATTTGAGAATTATGATATTACAAACTTTGAAGCTTCATTATAGAGGACTTTGAAGAATCATACCTTATGCCCCCATCCATTATAGGTCAGTTCAATTGGACCGGATTTCATCCCTATGATTGAAGCTCCCCGAGGCCCTGCGTACCTTTTCTCTAAACGAGCTCCACTATCCTTCATTAACCATTAAAAGGAACAACTTCCTTTTGTCACTTTAGATTGCTTGAAAGTGAATAGCCAAGGAAACATAAAGAAAAGTGAAAGGATTTTTGCTTACCGGAAGTCCCATAAGGCTACCTAACAATGTAATGGAATTATCCCCTGGCTTCAGCTGGATGGGTACTTTCAGTACAAAGCTCTTATCATCATGGCTTCCATGAGCAGATCCTACAAAAAATGAAAAGTTTCAATCTTTCAAAATGATGGTTGCTAGAAGAAAAATAAAGTTTGTGGCTTTTTTTAACTTCTTCTTTTTGCCCTCTTACCAACAAATTCACCATTAACAAAAGCAAGCATTGCATGCCCCAGGCTAGCCACTTCTAGCACAAGAGGGAAACCCAAATCTTGCTTTTTAACCTGAATTCTGAAATTCAAATCCAACGAGTAATTGATTTTTTAAATGGAGAAGGGAAACAAGTAAAGAAGATTAGTGTGTTCAAAGTTCAAACTGCAACTTACTTGGTTGTGTACCAAGCATAGTCAGTTGTATCCTTTGTCAAGAGGTAAAGCTCCTTTGGCTTCCAAGAGAAGTATCCAAGTTGAGTTGGGATCACTTCTTTGTAATTTTCCCATCTCAGGTTCCAATGAGCTAGTCTTGATTTCACTAACCTCCTTGCATTGTGTTGCGCCACCACCTGCTTCCACCAAAACAAACCATACTATCATAAACAAAACAATAAGGAGACCAAGTAGTCGAAAATACGATGTGGTTTAAAAGGAATGTTTAACTTACTGTCATGGTGTTATAAACCACAGTCTTGCAATCAGGTAGAATGCTGACAGAGTATGGAGGCAGGTGGTACTCATGTCCCCGGAACTTAACAGTTGATACATTGTCATTATTGTTGTTGGTCAAGAAAGCTGCACATACGTTGTTCCGCGGCTGATCATAGATGCAAACCTACAAGAAAGCCAAAATTACTGAGACTTTAAAATTTGTAACTTCAAATTGCTTGTCCTTGAATGTGGGGGTTCTATTGCCTTTTTTACTTTACCTCCACATCCTTAGTCAACATCCAAACAGAAGGGTGCCCCCAGAGTAGTGCCTTTTGGCTTAGCTTTAGTGCCCTATGTAGGTCCTTTAGGTGCCCCCATTTTGGCTCCCTCTCCAATCCTGTGAACTCGAAATGATAAGTGAAATGAAATAACTAACTAAGAAGCACTTAGTTTGAGACCAATGAGTGAGTTTTATTGAATGAGATTGCACCATATTCGTCTATAGGAGCTTCGTCATAGTATTGAGTTGTGGAGAAGGATGAAGTTGTTCTTCCAAAGTTTGTCCCTCCATAGTACTACAAACAAATGGAGGAAACTTCTCGTAGTTAGCTTAATTTCTTTTTCATTTCAACTTACTGACAATGTGTATGGCTTACCATGTAGTAGTTGACATGAGTCCCATTCCTCGCGAACCATCGAGCAACTGAGTATGCTATGTCTTCTGCCGTTCTGTAGTATGAAGGCTCTCCAAACACTGTATAACTTCAAGCACAAGAAAGCATAGATGAATTTGAGATACAGATTAGTGATAATTAATCATTAGCTACTCCGTAAAAAGAGCGAGAGGGCAGTGCTATTACTGAGAAGTCCAATTCTCTGTCCATAGAGAAGGCTTGTATGGTTTGTTTGGACCAAGGAATGTATCTGCACAGTGCCTTCCGTTGCAAGTATTGATCTGCCAACCCAGTGAGGATAAATGGATGTATCTTAACAAGTAGAAAAAAAATTGAGCGAATCGTGCTATGAAAGTTTTCGGTACCAGAGGATCAGGAGCATCAATTTGCTTGCACATAATCCATGGAACTCTGGTTTTAAGCCTTTCAGCCATATTCCCTGCCCATTGAATGTATCGCGAGCCTGAATCTTTGAACGCTCTTTCAACATTGGCATATTCATTCTCTATCTATAGAAGGGGAGAAATAAAACTCTCAAACACATCAAAATCTTCCTTCTGCTGGGTCATTAAAATTTTGATCCAGTTTGATATGGACGATGAGAAGAAACCTGAGACATGATTATGGGACCTCCTTGTGATGCATACAGTTTCTCCCTCTTAAACATGTCCACTATCATCCTCACAAATTTCCTCATATGGTACTGCAGAAACATAAAAAAAAAATGTGAAAGTATTTACCCTTTTACTTCAATGTCAAGCTACTCTAAATGATAATTAAACCAATGAACCATTTGTTTAGTTCATAAAACATCAAGAGAAAATAAAATCAGAAAAGAACGGACGCCTCCAACCCTCTCATACCCTCAAAAACAAAAGTATGCACAAACCATGCTACATTTGAATCTAACTTGAAAGAAAGAAATCGACATGGCTTTACGTGCCACTCTAGGGACAACCTCGAATGTGGCTCGAGGAACCACCGTAAAGGCTTAAGGACCCACTACTACCAGAGAATCGGAGACTGCAATCAAGCGGGCATCACAGACTACAAGAAGCTCTATACCAAAAGCAACCAAAAAGGCACGAGAGGCCCTGAGATCAACCTAACATGTTCGTTTGAGCAACGACCAACTAGACCTGACAACCAACAATTATCATGGCAGACAGTGACAACAAAGCAGATATTCAAGGAGCCGTCATGACTCATGAGAGGGAAGCTACAAATCAAAAGCAAATGAAAGAGGAGGAGGAGGAAAGACAATAAAAGCGCGAGAGACTGAAGAGGCAACAATCTAAACATTGAAGAGCGAACTGGGAAATAAAAAATGAACATGTGATTGAATAAAATCGAAACCACTATATTCCAAAAATTCCAGATTCTCCATAGAACCCAAGCATACTCAAGAATTTGAGGTTGATGAGCGCACAGAGCATAGGAAATGACGCTACCATTGACTGAAATTGTAGTAAAAAATGTAAGAAGAAAATCTCCAAAAATTTGTTTTCACTAGGGAACATCCATAACTATGACCAATTATTTTTAGTGCCTTGCTGTGTGAGACTGTGAATAACGACTAGACAAATTCATTTTTTTTTACTTTACTATAATTTGAAAAGAATTAAGGATTTATAGTGCATTTAAAGCTCATACCAAATTTGAAACCATATAACACAATAACGTCTGTCAAAATTAAGAAGCTCATTCCGATTAATCATGAGAATTTTAACCCGCTATTTAAAATCTTGAGCAAATCCAAAAATTAGCCATATATAATTTTTTCATAGAAATGATAGTCATCTCTATTGAAAGGAAAACGATGGCAATTGATCGACATAAAACCAGACAAGGAAAAGGGGGGAAAAATCGTTCCTCTAAAGAGCAGTCATTACGGCCTGGAGACCTCTGGTAGGAGATCCGATCAAAGATGATCGTTCCGACGAGAGATGTCGTTTGACCAAGATTGCTTCTAAACAATCTTCCGAGGACGATGATATGTTTGCTAGTAAGTGAACGATTTATTACCTTGAAAGGAGCATTGTCGGTACGGAAAGTAATGTTCTTGACCTCCCTCAACCAGAAGGGGAATCCTCTGTGAAAAACAGAGCAAGCAAGAAAAAAACAGAGTAAAATGAAACATAATGAATTGAAAATTGGGGAAAATTTCAGCAAGGATTTTTCTTTTCTAAGACGAACCCATGATTCCATTCAGCTTCTATGAAAGGACCGACCCGAATGGTGGCGTACATCCCCATTTCACCAATCATCCTTACGAATTTCACCACGTCATATCTCCCTTCGAAATTGTACTGCAGCAAACAAACACAGTAATTGTTTTTTTTATATTCGGACTGTAAACCAATCAGCAGTTATAAAATGGGTACCTGGCCTTGAAGAGGCTCGTGGCCATTCCAGAAGATGTAAGTCTGAATCACATTGAGCCCGCCGCGCTTCGCCTTCCCCAGGAGGTCCGGCCACATCTGAAAAAGCGGCGTCGTTTCAGCCAACTCCAATCAGCCGGAAAGAAACTAGAAGCAAAACAGAACTCTACCGTCGATCAGAATTTTCACGAGTATTTATTTATTTACCTCAGGGGTACTGCGAGGATAATGAATGGAGCCGGAGAAGAGAAGCTTCCGTTTGCCATTGATGATCAACGACCTTCCGTCGTACCGCACGCCGTGTTGGCTCGCCGCGGCCGTGGAGACGTAAATCCCCAGCAAAGCTATGGCCGCCGCGAGAACCGCTCCCACGCGGCGGCTCTGCCTCTTGGCTTGATTGATCATCACCGTTAATGTTTCTTGTGACAACAGTTTGTTTCTGTTGTTGGTGTTTGATTCGCCCCTTTGCTTTCATGGCCTGGGGAAGGAGATGAGAGAGATAAAAGAGGGGAAGCAGTCTAGTTGACTGAGCCGCTTGACTCGGTGCTCTGTGTTTAGTGAGTGAGTGAGTGTCAGTCAGTTCCAACCGCGATTCGGATTTGGCGCCGTTTCTCCATGCTTCCTTTTCCCTTCCCATCCTTTTGTTGGATCTGTTCTGTTGGAATTATAGGTGCCATTTTCACCCTTCATCATAACATTGTTTTATATCTTAATTTTTTTTTTGTCTTGTGTGGAAATTATTTGTGATGATTTGGAAGTGGCAGGATCATGGGTGTAGATTAAGTGATTATAAGTTAATCGAGTCAAAATGGATCACATCATTATATGTTAAGCAAAACAAGTCAGTTGGACGAAATTGGTTTGTTCATTGTAAAAAATAAAAATAAAGATCATTATGTAGGTAACATGTTAAATTAATACCAATATGTGATTAAGGTAATGGTCTGTGTTTTACCTTATAAGATTTAAATTTGAACCGAGGTTGTCAAATCAAATAAGTATTTATCACCTCTGGAATCGTATCACGTAATAAAATTGTCTATTATCAAAATTTATGTCGTTGATTTCGATTTGCGGCTCCCAAATACTATGAAAAGAGACCACCTGAGCGTTTAGTTTAATTTGGTAATGGGTGGAGCCAATTTGGAGAACTTGTATGTTCTTATTGATAAAGATCAAGTTTCTATTGTCCTGCTCAAGTTTCGCAAACACCTTTAAGTAGAAAAATAGGAAAATTGATAGATTCATGAACTTCTCGATAGGACGGACTACTGTAGTTGTCGAAATAGAGTATCTTCCAGTGGGATGGGATTAGGTGCTAACCCTTATAGGGTTAGCACCGTGATAACTAGCAAAAGACGCTACTAAAAATAACGAAATCACTACGAATTATTATAAAATCAATACAACATCTAAGCTAAATCACTACTAATTCAAACTAGTAGTAATTTTTCCCTTGGTTAGGACGGTGCTAACTCTTGTACAATTAGCACCGTAACTCCTCCCTCTTCCAGTACATTTCATTATTTATTGAGCTTTATTTTTGGTTTGTCTTGGACAATTTGTAGGATATAAACAAAAATAAGAATTTAAGTTAGGCAACTACAATGGGATGAAATAGTTAATTCGATGTTATATTATTTGCGACAACTACAAAATGGGAAGAACTCATATTAATATTTTGTACTTGTGCTAATTTTTACAATTCATTCAATATGTGGTGATGGTAATGATTTTGTTAATGATACTCAAGATTTGGAAGAGCAAAATTGTCTCTTATGCAATTTGATATTATGTGAACCTTTCTTTCAAAACAGAAAAAGTCGAAACGATATGACTTATGATACCGAATCCAGGAAGAATGAGGATATAAACTTCAGGGTGCTTCACTCTTTTGCTAATATAAGCGGATGAATAGAAGAAATGTGGACTATGTCATCAACTTATTCCATTTTTCTAGGAAAGCTAGCGATGCTTTATGGTGAATACTGTCAGGTTTAAATGTTTTGAGATTGTAAAGACTGTAATATTTCTCAATAAGGAAGAGTCGTTGTGATTTATGACTAAAAGGTAGATGGGAGGAATGAAGAGGATAGAGTTCCTACTCTCCCGGAACCGAAGGGTGAAAAAGCAAAATTACAAAACTATGGAATTTTTAACTTATTATTCCTTTCTTTCTCTTTTGCCGTTGATGATCAAAAACCTTCCATCGTATCGCACGCCGTGCTGGCTTGCTGCCGCCGTGGAGACGTAAATTACCAACAAGGATATGGCCCCTGTGAGAACCGCTTCAACGCAGCTCTGACTCTTGGTTTGATTGATCATCGTCGTTAATGTTTCTTGGAACATTAATCAGTTTAGGTTGTTGTTTGATTCGTCCCTTTACTTGGTTAGGGGAAGGAGATGCAAAAGATAAAAAAGGGTAGCGTTCTAGTTGATTGAGTCATGATCGCCTTTTTCCAAGTGCGACTAACTAAGGCAATTGTACCTATCATTAATGGCAATATAATGGCAAGCAAGGTTGTAGTGCATAGAGACGATGACTACTAATAATGAGCTATATTTCCTAGTATCTATCCGGTTATGATAAACACTTATGCGCTATCGAGCTTTAAATTTATAAGTCGATACACACTCTCTATTCAATCCTAACTAAGCCAAGTATAACCTATCTAGGGTTGTAGTAAAGTGGCTCGGTCGTATTCCAAGGGATCCCTAAGCTTACTATTACTTCGATTCGAACTACTACCTAATCGAATTGGAAGTTTGGGTGAAGAATCTAACCTAATCTACTCCTAAACAACCAACCAAACGGTTAGGAGAACGCTAGAGATGAGACAGTTGCCTAGGTTCGAATCCTCCTAGCTATGGTTGTCAAGTAGGGTTATAGAATGTGGTGAGTGAGCTCTTTTCCATGGGCTTTCGTGGTTATCAACACGTCTCCAAGTACGCCTCCCCTAAACCCATATAAAGTCACCTCGATCTAGACTATTGTATTTGGGGCTTTAAGCTCGTAGCACATTTCAATGAATACTATCCACCATCCACACCGAGATTTTATCTCAGGTTCTATCTAGGAAGGCTACCTATAGCAAGGGTTCGGTCGTCTTGACCACCATAGGTCCCTATTCATACATCTAATCTCGATTTGCTTGATGGCGCATACCCGTCTAACTCTAAAACTCCAAACCCAACATAGAAGCGTAAAGTAATCTAATAGGGAATATTAGGGAGACTTACCCAAATACAATCAAAGCTAGAATAACGATAGAATCAACTAGATAAACACATTCATTCATTCAAACCCATTCATAGACAACCTATAAACTAGGGTTCATCTTCTTTAAACAACCATTAGGGATTCAAGTCATTAGAAAGAGGAAGAAACACGAACTATAAGAGGAGAGTGGTGGAATCAAGCTTCTTCTCCTTGCTTGCACCTTCTCCTTGCTCCTTGGGTTGATTGGATCTTCAATGGAGCTCTCCCAAGGTGTTTCCCTCTCTAAAACATTCAAAAACCCTAACTTTCTCACTCTAGGTGGCTCTCCTCTTTCTCTCCAGCAGCTCCACTATTTATAGGTGCTGGAAATTCTCAGGCTAGTTCACGACCTAGAGACAGAAGATCGCGGCCGCGAACTTTCGTATATCGGGCATGATCTTTATCCTCAACCTAAATCAATGTTGCCCATGAGGAGAGTGGGGAAACTCTCTGTTCTCCCAGAGACGCCTCCCTCCAAAGTTCACAGTCAAAACACTCCACTTCGCGGTCGGTATCTTTCGGCCTTGCCCCGCGATCTCCTTGCAGATTTCGTGGTCCATCTTCTCGATCGGGAACTTGAACCCTTCAGCTGCGATCTTTGCATTGTTTGGTCCTTCTACTTGTTTCTACACATTCTTGCCCATTTTCTCCCTGTCTTTGCTCAAAATGTCAAATGCGTCCCAAAATAGTATCAAAGACGAAAGGGAACAAAATGGGTATGCAAATGACATTTTATAAGACGATAAAATATTAGTTAGACACAAAATCACCTAATTAGTATAGGTTAAATAACACTATTTCAGTGTTATCAGGTTCTCTTAGTGATTTTGTTTTAATTGAATTGACTACTACTCTACTAAAGCGCAAAATTGACAACAACAAAATTTACCAAATATACAAAATCCAAGCGGATAAGGAGTTGTTTAGATTCAAATCCCCCTAGCTAGTTATCAAGAATCAACCAAACACGATACATATGTGATTTACTATTCCCAGACCATAGAAATCCTCAAATTAGAATTAAACCCAATCTTCTTGCGTGTTAATACTCTATTAGACGATTAAGTCTAGATTCGATATTCTCCTTGACCTAGATTCAATTACCAATGCGTTAATCGATCTTTGAATTCCCTACAATAGGTTTTACCCTATTATAGAAGTCCCCTTCCTCCATCTTCTAGTAGTTCGAGGTCCCTTCTATTCCTAACGTTCTATGATGCATATGGGAATCTTCTCCTCGTCAAATACATGAAACATACAAGCAATTAAGAGGTCGACTTCAATTGAAAGCTCGAAAGATAAAACAGAGACAGATCATAGGAAAATAAACATATATTGAAATCCAATCAATTTAGAACCACAAAGCTAGGGTTCATCTCATCTAAACAACAAGATTCCCACATGCATATAAGGTAATAGGTAATCGTTAATCACCCCTGGCACACACACACTTAAAATGGACATTGTCCTCAATGGACATGAAAGATAAATCAAGGGGAAAAAGAATGAGTTACCTATAAAAGTGACGCACACACGCATGTTGGAAGAGTTGGATCCATGATAACCGTAAACTAGAAACACTATTCGAGTAGACATTAAGCATATGAATCAACCTCGTGACTTATTAAAAGTTATGAATGTTTATTTCCCTTTTTATAAAAACAAAAAGATAAGGATCATGAAAAGGTGAGAGTATCACACATCGTCAATATACAGTGGCAATGGATACGTTGAAGGTGAGGTTGATTCCAAATCTTATTTATAGTAGTAGGGTGATCCAACAAAGGTAAAAGTAGCCCTACCCTTTTCAAAGTGCGACTAACTAAGGCAAGTGTATCAGTCGTTAATGGCAATATAGTGTCAAGTAAGGCTATATCTCACGGAGACGATGACTACTAGTAATGAGCTATATTTCCAATTATCTAACCAAATCTTTTAGTGATTTTGTTTTAATTGAATGCTATTATACTAAAGCAAAAAAATTGGCAACAACACAATTACCAAAGATAAAACCAAGCAAATAAGGAGGAGTTTATATTCGAATCCCCTTGACTAGTTATCAAGAATCTACCTGTTTACCCACAAAAAATCAGTTTGTACCACATCGATCAACTACAAGAGATTTAATGGATTTATAAGGTCGCCTCAAATTAATAATTAAAA